GTGCTAAGCACATGGTTGAGTGCTCAGTACGCACTGCTGAGTGAATGTCAAATGCCACAGGGATACAGAGGACACCACTTGGCTCTGCCTGGAGAGGCTGGGAAGGCCTTACAGAGATGACTTTGGGGCATAGCCATGCCTAGGGACAGGGGCTCATCTCCTGCCCACTCTATCTGGCCTTTTCCTGAGAGCAGATCTTACATGTTCTTACCACCTGTGCACACATGTGCATTAACTATATGGTGATAATTATGAATATGTTAATTAGGTTGGTTGTGGTGATTATTTCACAACATGTGCCTGTATTAGATCATCAGATTGTATGCTTTAAATCTATGCAATAAAAATAAAATAAAACAACTCGCTTTTTCCTGGCTGCCGAGATGGAGTACCTGAGACCATAGTGAAGACAGTAGAAAAGGGAATCCTTGGTTGAGGCCAGGAGTTTGAGACCAGCCTGAGCAAGCATGAGACCTCTATTTCTACAAAAAAGAGAAAGATTAATTAGCTGGGCATGGGGGTGTCCCTCTGTAGTCCCAGCTACTCAGGAGCCTGATGCAGGAGAACACGTGAGCCCAGGAGTGTGAGGTTGCTTTGAGCTAAGCTGAGGCCAGAGCACTGTAGCTGGGGATACGGGGGTGGGGAGGGATATGTGTGCAAAACCCTGTCTCAAAAAAAAAAAGAAGAAACTACAGGAAAAAAGAAAAGAAAAGGAAAGGAGACCTTGCCTCTGGCTTTTTCTCTAAGGAGGAGGTGGGGCCGGTCCCCCCAGGTCCACCCCAGCAGTACCCAGGGCCTACCTTGGTTGTTCCTTGTTTCTCCTACAGGAGAAATTCCAATGGACACGCTGCCCTATGGGCCCTGAGGTGCCCTACAGGAGGGTCTCCTATTATCCAGGCCTCTCCAGCTGCTCTCTGCCCCCCACTCAGTTCCCCCAGCATCCTCCTTCTTATCAAACCTGTTCCCTGTCTCCATGGTGACACGGCCTCACCCAGCTTTCTTGGGTGGTCTGATTGCCTCACAGTGTGAAACTCTGAGAACATTTTCCTAAAGTGCAGCCAGAAACTTCCACTTCCCATGCCCAGGGCTATCCCTCTACTCTCAACTCTGGCTTCCCCTCCTGCCAGCCTCACTCCATTGACATCCCCACTCCCTCCCATCATGGCTGTGTCCAGCTGAGAGGACACACAGCCTCCAGGTATCCTAAGGGCTCCCAGGACTAAGGCTTCAAAATGGGGTCCCGACTGACCTGACTCCTCTTCTTAATCCCCTTGCTGTTCAGTGGAGAGTAGCAATTTGCCCGGCCCAGTGCAAAATAAAAATGCCGTGCCTCTTGTTCAAAAAGCATTAAGAAATTTCAAAACAGCAACAAATTAAACTCTGGGCACTTCTAAGTGTGGAGCCCTTTGCAACTAACTGCACAGGCCACATGCCTGTGAAGCCAGCCCTGGAAAGCAAGAGAAACACAGAGAGAGGAGTAGATGTGTGTGTGGTCACAGGGGGATACTGGTGGGGCAGAGATTGAGTTCAGGCATCAGATTCAGACTGGACCCCCAAACAGCATCTTTGGGCAATCTTCTCCTTCCTGGGGCCCAGAGGATGCCATAGGCCAATAGAAGAAACCCAGCTTGCCTGAGGTCACATAGCCAAATGAGGTTTTTCAGCCTAAAAGACAAGATCTGGGTGAGGCTATCCATTTTCCCTCAGAGTTTCTATCTTTATAATATAGGTGGATACTTGGAGAAAATTTGTGGCCTTTTTTTCTTTTTTGTTTAGCAGACCCTGGCTGGGTTTGAACTCACCACCCCCGGTGCATGGGACCAGCACCATTGAACTACGGGTGCCCAGCCAGGTTTGTGGCTTTTTAACAGTCCAACACTCCAAGATGCATGTGTACAGGGTGACACCTGTGGCTCAAGGAGTAGGGCGCCGGCCCCATATGCCGAGGGTGGTGTGTTCAAATTCGGCCTCCACCAAAAGCTGCAAAAAAAAAAAAGATGTGTGTGTACAGATATGCACATGAGCCCTCATGGATGACACACACATACCCAGCATCTGCAAGACAAGTGTGTCTAAGAGCTCAGTTATCCCAATACTCAACTCTCCCCACCTTTGTAAATACTTCCAAGTTCATACATCTAAGCAAATGTAGCTATAACAAAACCGCAGACACCCAGGGATCAGAGTGCCCTCTTATCTTCCCTGGGTCCGGGCATGGCCTAAATGTCTGAGCTGTGTTTTTTGGGTGGTACAAGAGACCAGCTGCACAGCTGCCCTTCTAGGGCAGCCACATGTCAGTGGAAACCACCAACTTGACAGGACAGCTTCTGTGTTTGGTATTTCTGCATGTCCTTTCCCACCCTGTCACTGTGAAGTCATGGCCTCCCCTGCAGCAGGCCCAGTGCCTCTTGTCAGGGCCCTCAGGCATTCCCAGGGCCGGCAGCACCAGCTTGGATGGAGTCTCTCAGCCTTGAAATCCCCATTCCACCTCCCTACACAGTTCTCTTCCTTCCCCTTCCCCTGGCACCAGCCTCACCCCTTTTCCTTTTGTGAGAGAGCCAGACCTGAATGGGGCTGCCCCCACCCCCACCCAGTTGAAATCCACCCCTTGCCCCCCTCACCCCTTTACTGAGTGCTGCAGCTGGGCTATGTGTTGTTCTGGGGCAGGATGTGGGGGCAGGTGGGGGGGGCGGCCCCCTCCTCCCCAGGGAAGAACAATGAGGCCGCTCAGGGTGGTGGGGCGGAGGGAGTGGGTGGGGTGGGGGGCATGGAGCGACATCAGAGCACTGAGGTGCGGCCCCTGGAGGGACAGCTGAGTGATGAGGCCTGAGTCACATGCCCTGTGTGCTCCTTGAACTCCCGCTCCTGTTCCTGCCGAGACACATCCAGAAATGCACAGGGTAAATATTTAGAGGTAATCATTTTCACAGCACCTCGCACCTCCCTACATTGCTATGGATGGGAAAGGCCTGGGACTAGGGGGAGGAATCCAATGAGACCCAGGCTCTGCAGACTAGGATTCTGGGGTCACCTTCCCACATCCCCCTGGATCTTCACATTCTAGCTACAACCCCAGCCTAGAGAAGTCTGGAAACATCCTGAGGGCCAAACCTGGCTTAAAGTCCATCAACTGAACTCTCCTTGTTCTGTCCCTCCCCTGCCTGGAACTGGCCATCAGTGTGCCAACTACAGTTCTGCCAAGCCCAGTCTCTAGCCAGGAGGGCTCAGAGATGGCCCTTTGGTTTCTGCATGTGAGCAGGGAGGGAACTGTAGATAAGAACTAGCCCCAAGTTCAGCATGCCAGTTCCTTGGCTCTACCCTGCCTGGAATGTCTTCCTTCCTCAGAGGACATGGAGTCCGGAGTCCGGAGCCCAGAGCCCAGAGCCCAGGCTTTATCAAAGATAAAACATTCGAGACTAAACAGTCTTTTTATAGATTGGAACTGGACTCCTGAGCACATGTTTTCCCCCATCATTCCCAGCCTGCCCTCTGTGTGCACACATAAAACACACAAGACTTTTGGGGAGAAACGGAGATACTGAGGTTTGGGGACAAAAGTATATTTCTAATGAAAGGAAGAAGCCACAGGAAGGCCTGGGGGCAGCAATGTGATGGTCTGGTCTGGGCCACTTCTGTGCCCACTAAGGAGAGGACAGGCAGAGGTGAGAAACAGCTGTCAGGAGTTGAAATAGGATGGAACACAATGCCGAGGCCCAGAATGTGCAGTCCACTCACCTGAGCACAAATTTCATAGAAAACGCTACCTTTAAATTGTATATAAAAACAGCACACTGTACCCCATGATTGTATTAATGTACACAGCTATGATTTAATAGGAAAAAAAAAAAAAGAAAACGCTACCATGGGCGAGACCCTCACCCGGTGCCCCAGCACAATGATGGAAGAAAGCAAATATTTATTGTGTATATACTATTTAGTCAGCTATCTGTAAACATCAGCTCACTTAATTCTTTCAAGGACTCTACTCATTTGGGGTTATTCATCCCATTTTTATAGATGAGGAAACCAAGGGTCATAGTAGTCAGGAGCCCAAGCTCTGATAGGTAACCATGGAGGAAGGATTTGACTTCAGGGCCTCCTGACTTCACAGCTCAGGGCCCTTTTCTCTTTTGTTTCCTTGAATGTAAGATGGAGATGACAATGGAAACTGATTTGGGTTTGTGGGGGTGAAAGAAGATTACTTGGATAAAAGTTAGCCAGTGTCTGACATAGAGTAGGACTCCGGTATATGTCAGTGTAATTCATTATTGTGATTATTTTGTGTGCTGGGCATCTTAGAGGACAGTGACACTGAAACCACCCACAGGGTCTCTCAGATAATATGGGAGGCTTAGAAAGAGCGAGACTGTGAATCCACAGTCTTCACACCTCACCACCCAGGAATCAAGGCACCTTCTATGATGTGCCAAGAGGTCCTCCAGTTGGAGAAGAGGAGAAGGAGACTAAGAGAGGGAGGGGCCGAGCAGAGACCTCAGCAGGCAGTGAGAAGTCCTGACTCTGGGTTTGAATAAAAGGGACATCACACGAGTGCATGAATTCTGTATGAGTTTGCACCACAGATGGGAATGGCAGTGATCTCTGGGCCTCAGTTTCCCCATTGATAGAAAGAGTGGATGAGGTATTATTTGTGTCCAGTGAGCCTTCCCTTCCTGCTCCGAAATTCTATGAATTTTTCTCTACTACTCCCTTTACAGGGAGGCTGATTTGTTTCACAGCTGGTCCCAGGGGAGTCCCACCAGAGACAGGTGAAGGGCAGAGGGGAAAATGGGAGGCTGCATAGACAGGACATACAGATGGCCCGGGAGGCCTGACTCCCGCTCAGTTCTCGTTCAGAGAGAATGTGGCAGCTGTTGCCAGACGGGCTTTGGAGTTAGGATGGCATGGTGAGGATGCTATAGTGATCCTGGGGTCCTCTGTGGGGTTTGGTGCTGGATAGCAGATGGTAGCTCATAGCCCCTTTCCTATTTCTCTCCACCCAGAGACCTCAGCATGAACAATCTCACGGAGCTTCAGCCCGGCCTCTTCCACCACCTGCGCTTCTTGGAGGAGCTGTGAGTAGATGTTTGAGGGGTGGGAGGTGAAGTATTAGCTACTTCTAACAGCTGTGGGACCCAGGCTTCCCAGGAGGGGGGTTTGGGGGGAAAAAGGGGCCTCAGGAAGCTTGAACTATTCTTGACAGCAGGGTATTCTTCAGCTGATGCCTGCCCCAGTTGTGAATCCCAGAGCAGCCGCATGACATAGGAAGTCTAAAATCTAGCCCGCTTTACTCCCTGAAGCCAGATCCTCTTTGCAGTTTTCCCCCTTACTGTGCATAGTCACAACTCCCCCTGACAGGACCTGCTCTTGTCCCCTGTGTCCAGCTACCAGCCCCAACCCCAAATCCTGGTGGTTCTTCTGAGCTGTCTCTGATCACCCCTTGTTCCCTGTTCCCACAGCTACTGCCCTAGATGTCCCCTCATGTCTGGGGATTGAACCAGCCTCTTGACAGATTTTCTACCTCTACATTATTCTCCACACCTTCAGGGTGCATCTCACTGCTCCAGAGCTGTCTGTGGCCCCCCATAGCTGAAGGAGCCACTTCTTAGACCTTCCCTTACAAGGTCCACATCCTCCACTAAGTCCTCCCTGGTTAATTCCTGCCCACAGCTGTCACTCTCAGGCTGCAATCTGTAAGTCTGGCTTTGTATACTGGTGGTGCTCATGAATAAATCACCATCTGGGTTACAGTGCCTGTCCAGGAAGCTGGGTCACCCCGTCCTGATCCTTACTTTCATCCGCCAGCCCTGTTTATTCTTAATTTCACACCAAATAGATCCTTGGGGCTCTAAAAAGATTTGCTAAACTGCATAAACTGTGAGCATAGGAAGTCTAAAATGTTTCTGAAATGTGAAATGGACCTGAAAACATTCACAATTCCACTTTGACCTTGGCCTCACGACTCCCCTAACAGATCTCCTCCCTTTGCCCTAGGCAGTGCTCCTGAAGGATGCAATCCATCCCGCCCCTGCTGGAGTTATGTTCCCAGGCCTACACCTGGGTTCTCCAGACCATGCATTTTCTTAGCTCCCTTTCTTGGGTGGAAGGGAGGGTCAAGGAGCTCTGGGGGAAAACAAGATAAAACATCTGCCTGCTGCCCTGAGGGAACTTCCATGTGAGGCCAGAGAGCATGTAGTCAGCAAGGCAGCAGGGCAGGGGGGCACACAGCCATTTTGTGTAAGGCAGTGGTCAGGGTGGGCCCAGCCAGTAGTCAGGGAAGCCTTCCTGGAGGAGGAAAGTTGAGCCAGTTTTCAAAAGAACTGAACAGAGTAAGAGTCAGTGGAATGGCCTTCCAGGTGCCGGTGACACAGCTTGGGTGGGGATGCAAGGCAAGAAAGGCCAAGGAGCTTGGGCCAGTGAACTGTGGGACACAGCCTCGGAACTGCAGGCTCACCTTCCATCTTCCACTCCCATTTTAGAGGCTCCTCCTAAAGGACCCTTCTGCTATGGCAAATGCCACCTGCAGAACCCAAGCTAGGAGAGACTATTATGTCATGATGCCTTTCCACATGGTTTTATTTTTTAATAATAAGCATCAAATAAAGGGACTTTTATACCAGGCGGGGTGGCTCTCTCCTGTAATCTCAGCACTTGGGAGGCCGAGGCGGGTGGATTGCCTGAGGTCACAGGCTCAAGACCACCTGAGCCAGAGCAAGACCTTGTCTCTAAAAATAGCTGGGTGTTGTGGCGGGTGCCTGTAGTCCCAGCTACTTGGGAGGCTGAGGCAAGAGAATTGCTTAAGCCCAAGAGGTGGAGGTTGCTGTGAGCTGTGACACCACGGCACTGTACCGAGGGCAGCAAGTAAGACTCTGTCCAAAAAAAAAATCATAAGAAAGAGACTTTTATTATAGTTACATTAAAAAAAAAAACAAAAAACTTCTGAGTTACGTCAGCATAATCTCTATATCTTCAGGCCTCTCAGTAGCAATCAATACACCACAGTGGCCCCAGGGACCTTGGAGATCTAGCAGTGTTCTCTGAATCATCCACAATTAAACTCTGCTCAGTCAAGTGTCAGTGTTAAGTAAATTTCATCTAATTTACTCCTTTTAGAATCGGTGATCACCCTATGGCAAACATGGAAATGTTTAATTAGACCAGAATGTTAGACTAATTCTACCACCTTATTTCCTAACACTCCTGGATTAGTGGGGGTTAGCTGTGTAGTTTAGGGCCTGGGGCCACACAGACACGCTCCCTTCACTGGTGACATTGTATAGAGAAGTTCAGCAGTCCAGGGTAGGCCGTGGGTAATCCAGGTTAGCACAGGAGAGGATGTGGGCCCGTGGAGGGCCGTGAGCCTGAAAGTTGGTCAAGTCGGGTAAGAATACCATGCTCTACCATGCCTGGCTCTGTGGCCCTTGGGGGAAGGGACTGACTTCTCCCAACCTTGGTTTCCTCTTCTGAAATTTGGGAATGATAATAGGCACCTCACACGTTATTGTGAGAACTGAGATGATGTAGGGAAGCTGCAGAAGATATAATAGATCTCAGTAAATGCTAGTTAGTACTACCAATCTGTATTCCAAGATGCTAACTAATGGAAGACACCCACTCCTTGGGTTACCTGCCAGCTTCACTGGCCCTTGTCTCTGATTTCCAGGCGCCTCTCTGGGAACCATCTCTCACACATCCCGGGACAAGCATTCTCTGGTCTCTACAGCCTGAAAATCCTGTAAGTATAGGTATACATCATTTTACATAGAGCTGCGGCACTGGGAATTGTAAGCAAATCAAAGTTTTGTGACCAGAGTCTTGGTTTACGACCGACTTGCTTATCATTTCCTTATCTCCACTTTTAATTTCAATTTTGTATCTATTTCTTTGCTTTCACCTTGTCAGTGATAAACTGTATAATTTGTAAACAAACATTTAATTGTACCTGATGCAAACGGCAACCCTACAGGGAAGTGAAGCCTCACGTTTTTCTTTCCTGTAATGTGTGTAATGACCATCAGCATAGGTCTTTGTGGGGCTGATTTTCATTACAGACCCATAGGTCTCTCCCCAAGACTTCTCATCGGGCACAGGGCCAGTTACAGGAGAGGAGGAATCCAGGTGGGCTTTTTTGGCCATTCTTCCTCTGGAGGCCCAGGCTTAGTCTCTGCAGCACGGAGTTTCCATTCTCATTGTAAACATATCTCCTCCTTCAGTCTTCAGGGCTCTCTATCTGACTGGTCTCTATCCTTCCCTCACCGTCTGCTCTGCCCTTGGGTGTCTCTCATCTCTGTCCTCAGCTTCAGCCTCCTTGTCTCCCCTCCTTCTCCTTCTGTGTCTCAGGCCTTGTTCTCCCCCTCTCTGCCCCTCTGTCCCCTGTATCTCGGTTCTCCTTCTTCCTACCTCCTCTCTCTGTCTTGCTCCCCATAGACATCACTGCCTTGGGGAGCGGGGTGGTGGGGGAGGCTTTCTGAACCAGATGCACAGTGCAGGCGGCCTGCTTGGTGGCGTGTCTGTGCCCAGTGGCAGGCTCAGACCTGCAGCTGGGATTAGAGAGCAGGGCTCTGTTTGCTGGGCCTTCAGAAGATGTGAGACTCACGTCCCATTCCTAAGACTCCGGCTTAGAGATGAGCCTCCTCTTTCTTCTTTGCCTGAATTAGGCAATAAATCAAAGCCTTGGAGAAACCACAGGCCTCCTGCCCACCCCCTTTCTACAAACAGTGCCCTTGGCTCAGCGAGTAGGTGGCCAGGAGAGGCTGCAGAGTGGGGAGCCAAGTTCAGCCACACCATCCGCTCACTACTCTGCCATTGAGCACCCTCAGTCCCATCCTCAAAGACCACTCAGTCCCCCAAAGCTTGTGTCAGTCCTCTGATTGCAGAGCCTCTCTGCGTTGGGGATGGATTGGGTGGTCCTAGGGAATTATCCTCTTACAGACTTCAAAGCAGAATACTCCACCTGCCTCCCAGGCACACTTCCTGGAGTCCAGCGTCAGCGTCCCTCGTTGCAGTGTCCTCCCATTGCTTGCTCTTCAGACCCACGAGAAAAATGGAGCAGTAGAGCCCACCATCAGCTTAATAACCTCTTTTTGTACTGGCAGAAGGTCAACTTAGCTGGTCCCCAAGTCTTCTCTTTGCCTGGTACTCTTATCTGAACTGCATCTTCCTTTTTCTGAGGCCTGGCTGGCCCTGTGGAACTTGTTGCTCCTTCTCTCCTTCCTAGAGGAAAAGGATTAAATAAAGTGAATTCCCAGCTTGGCACCCATAGCACAGTGGTTAGGGCACCAGCCACATACACAGAGGCTGACGGGTTCGAAACTAGCCTGGGCCTGCTAAACAACAATGACAACTGCAACAAAAAATAGCCAGGCATTGTGGTGGGTGCCTGTAGTCCCAGCTACTTGGGAGGCTGAGGCAAAAGAATCGCTT